ACCCCAAATTTAAGCACAAACTCTCATTCTGGGGTCAGTGCTCAAGTCCCTCGGCTTCTGTTCAGTGAAGTTCTCTCTCCCAGGTTAAAGAAGGCGGGAACGTTCTGGTTCCGGCTCAGCCTCCTCATGGAGCGGATGTCCATCTGGCCGTAGAAAACGCTCCAAACACACCGAGCAGCAGGTACGTTCCTTCACACCAGCATCTTCAGTTTCATTTGGAAAATATCGCTAAGAAAAACTCTTGCGGTGCTGCCTAACAGTGGCGATGAAGACGGCCTGCTGCAGAGTGGTGAGGGAAGAAGGGACGATGGGAGGAGGAGCGTCTCTCCCTCTGACCCGGTGGAGTCCCTCAACGCGTTCACCAGGAAGGTCGGGGCTTTTGTGAATAAACCCAACACTCAGGTAATTAATGTGACATGACACCCGGTCTCCTCTCACCGTCCTCTCCATGAAAAGTTGGTAAAAATAAGGTTTTTTTTTTGTTTGTGTTTGCATGTGTAGATCACAGCTGCCAGTCTGGATCTCCCATTCGCTGCGTTTGCTCCTCGTGGCCTGGACTCTGAGGAGAACGATCCCATGGTGACCTGATCTGGTTTTTAACACGTACCTCAGCATCTATAGGCTCGTGCGTCCTGCTGCTGGGAAGTGACCGTTTGTGTGCGTGCGTGTGTGTTTTTTTGCGGTCAGGTGCGTCCTCTGGACTCTCCTCCCTCCCAGTCGCCCCTGCAGGCCAGCCTTCACTCTCAGGGCTCAGACGGATCGGGACCGCAGGACGACTTCGTCATGGTCGACTTTGTGAGTGGTTTCGGACTTCAAAAACTATCAGCATAAAACACACAAACAACTGAGTGAAGTGACCAGTTTTGAATTAATATGTTGAATCCCATATTTTTATGTTATTCATTCGGCAGTACAGACATAACATTGAAGGAGAAAGATGCTAATCATGGTCTGATTTTTTATTTTTTTTAATCTGTCCCTGTGTGCAGCGTCCAGCTTTCTCTAAAGACGACCTTTTGCCGATGGATCTGGGCACTTTCTACCGAGAGTTTCAGAACCCTCCGCAGCTGGCCAGCCTCTCGCTGCACACCAGCTCCCAGTCGATGGCTGACGACCTGGTAAAGGCGTCCTCTTCCCCTTTCGTTGTGTCTGATGGCGTATTGGGGCCATTGTAGATTGTTATGAAAAAACAATAAAGGAAAACAATAAAGTTTATTTCTACCAAAAAGCTGGACATTTTCTAGAAGAAAAAACTTGGAAATTTGAGTTTCAATATTTAAAAAAAACAAAACACTGAAATCTTTTTTTGACACGTCTCAGAAATAAATAAAAAAAACGGAAAATTTGAGTGTGAAGTATTTTGAGATCCCAGAAATTTTCTTGGAAAAAGTCAAAAATTTGACTTTTGAAACTTTTATTTCTAGATCTACATCTCAGATTAATCTCAAAATGTCTTATTTTCTAGCAAACATTTCGCTTTTGAAGTTCAAAAAAACGCCACCTTTTTTTTTTTTTTTTTTCTCGAAAAATTTCAGACATAAACCTTTCTTCTAACTGCAATGGGCCTGATACGCCATCATAATTTTGCGCTACATTTTTAGTTAAAGAACATTAAACAAAGGACTGATGTGAGCTGGTTCGTTTGCAGGACTCTCTGCCGGAGAAACTGCGCGTGTATGAGAAGAACATCGACGAATTTGACGCGTTTGTGGACATGCTTCAGTAGGACGAGTGAAGGAAAAGTCAACCTGCGACTAAAAGCTGAATTCATCAGAAGGGGGGCGGAGGTCCCTGTGTGTGTCGTGTGAGAATTGCTCAGAATACATCATGTTTAAGGCTGTTTGTGTCTGAAAACTTCTTACCTGTTCACTTATAGTCTGCTTCACTGTAAATACTGTAATATCTGGTGACACTGGCTCACTTGCCATCGCCGTCTGGTGGCTGCGATCAAACCGACAGCTTTAATTTATGTGTTGCATAATTCTGCTCTTGTAGTCAAACGATCATGGGGCAGCCATGCAAATCCACGGACAGATTCTGGTAGTAATGCCCTCGTTATAAAACTTTCTCTTTCTCTTAACCTGTAAATGTAAAAAAAAAAAAAAAAAGATTAACATGTCTAAAAAGGGTTGTTTTTTTTCTCTTTTTTTTCTGGAGGTTGCTCATAACCCTGCAGAGCGTCGTCTCACTGTGTTTTTCTTATAAATGAAAAGACTCATTCGTTGTGCAGAGCTTGGCGTTCCCAGCTGGTCTGGGGATTTAAACGGCCACTGTGAATTGTACCAGATGAACCCCAGACACATTTGACAGTGAAGAAGCTGCAGTTTCTCTGTGAGCAGAGCCCACATGTCAGTCTGCAGCCACAAAGCTCAACCTGTTTGACTCAGAGATGGAAATAAACACCCAACAGGTACCCTGGAATCAGCTCGAACACAACCTCCCCGAAGCTCCGATTGGCCCCAGGCTGCTTGCATTGGGACTAAATTAAGAACCGTTCCAACACATTCATGTATATTGTGTGAAATATGTAAAAAGGATAAAGAATTCCCAGCTGCCCACAGCATTCATGGTCGAGTTGGTTGAAAGCTTTGATTTAAAGCATTCTGTTGACGTAGATGTCCTAATAAAGCATGGCTGCTCTGTTTACTGTGCTTCTTTTCTTCTGTTTTAGCTCGAAATGAACTCAAATCCTTTTCTAATTAAACGGTGGATGATTACTACACAGGGGTAAAGTTACCATTTCAGACCGGACAAACAAAATTGCGCTAACATTTCTGAAGCAACTTGAACTCCCGAAGTAAATGTAGCATGTTTTTTTAAAAGTCTATGCATACAAATTAAAAAGGTTACATAAAATCTCTGGTAACTATTCAGGGAGCAGGATCTGAATTGTTACATGATCATTTTACATAAGTACTGTGAAACTAATGTTTTTAAGGTTATGTGTAAATTTAAGCTACATGACCAATAAAATACTTGTTTCCTTCCACCTAACTTTCCAGCTAGACAATTTTATCTCTTATGCACTGTGACCCAATAGGCTTATTTACTGCCCGTTTTTTTGTTTTCAAATATTCTTACCCTGTGATTATTTTTGCTTTTTAGGTTAAATCTATTCACAATTAAACTGAATTATTACATAAAACTGAAATAGAAAATACTATTTGCTTGGAGGTGCTCAGTCTCCTCCAGAATAAGTTATAGCACCACCTAGCGTCGGTGCTTAGCTTAGCGTTAAAACATCTTTAACGCAAAGGGAGTTAAAGATGTTTTAACTAGCTGCACGGTGTTTGAAGAACAAAACACCGTCTCTGCTGAACCCCCTTGTTGAGAAGCGGTGGAAAGATGACCCAGTTCTTTCGCCAGGTGTCTGTGAAACAGACTGATGGACCTTCAGCTAATGCTCACAGCTAATGAGTGAAACGGTAGCTGGAAGTTGACTTACGGTACTTAACATTAGCTGCTTCTAAATGTGGTGAGAGCAAAATATCTTCCAAAAGATTCCTTGACCTAAATAAATAAATAAGTCCAAACTAAGACATTTAAAACTTTGTGATAATTGGAGGTCAAGTTATTCGCTTTACTTCACTCCTTCCTCCGTCTGACATGATGCATTCAAGGAACAATAAAAAAAAGGTTTTTAAAAGAGTAAGCGAATAAAGTTAGATAATTTTGTTTTGGAACAATACTTAATACTTTAATATCTTAACTGAAATCTGTGAGTTTTATCCCCGCTGTGTAAATTATTTTGCTTAGCTTAGGTTGACCCTTAACCCTAAAATATTAATGCCCACTGTTCGGCCAATCACATTTCTTTGTTTATTAGTAAAATTCAAAGATTTCGAGTAACTGCATTTCAGGTATTAATCAGCTCAAGGTTCCAACATATTAGTAAAAGTGCCAGACTGACTTCATTCCTAGACCAATTTTAAATAAAAACTAAAGCTCACCATGCATTTACGGCAATTAAAATGTCTTAAAGCACCAAAGATTAAATGAAAGACACCAGAAAACAAAATAAAATTTAGAGGGGAATAATAGAAATAAACTAAATAAATGAGACATTTGAACATACAGAAGAATGGATAACTTGTAGGCAATTGAATATTCTGGAGTAAAAGTTTTCCGTAGTTATTTAAACCTGAAAAATGTTGAGATACAGCGTCTCGTTTCATAAAAAAAAAAATCAGTTACCCGTGTTAAAAAAACAAACAAACACTGAATATACACTAATTTCTTGCAGAGTATGTTCACACTAAGATTTTAAATAAAACAATCTCAGAAGTCCTCAATGTAATTTTATTGGTAGTTTCCATTTCACATCTGCAGGACTGCAAAGGGTCAAAACCAGAAGGTCGGGAGTTAAGGTCGCACTCTTTTTACAGTCAACTTGCTTCGAGGCGTCAACCAACTACAGAACGAGTCTCTGAAGAACCACCCCCATCTTTCATCTGCTACCCGAAGGATCCGGGAACCGTTCAAACTTCCAGTGAAGGCTATTAAGGAAAACCGCTTCCCAGACGTCAAATGATGCAAATAACCTAACCATTTGTATTTTCTTGAGCTAGCCACTTAACATGCCGTTTTCAAATACATCTGGTCAACCGAGGGAGACTGAGGCCATTCCTCCCCCACTTCAGCCGACTTTGAACACGGAACAAGAAAAAGAAATACAAAAAAATTTCACAGGACACAGGCAGTGGTTGCCCAGTGTGCATTTCCACCTCTTTGAGCAGCTCAGTCCAGAATAATGTCCTGCCACCCTCGTGTCTGCAGTCCAATGAGTTGGGTGACTTTGAGCCCCCTCTGGGTGGAGAAGCAAGACAAGTTGGGGAATGGCTCGAAAGGAAGCGTCCAGATAAGAGATGGGGCGACAGCTTAACTTTTAATCTCACTTTCTTGAGTAGAGGAAGAAAGTCTTTAAGGTTGGTGGCCAATGTCCTCCCATCGCAAAGATCTAACCCGCCCCCCCCCCCCCCCAACAGATAGCTGAGCTTCGGTTTTTTATGTTAGTCAGGCGAAGGTGAAGATGAGGGTGAATCTGGCATCCATACACTACAGAGCAGGAGGGAGGTCAGGGAGTGTATGGAAGAGATCCAGGAGCTCTAAGTTTCTTCATGGGCTTTTTGGAGAACGGAAAGGAAGATGACAGGGTGACAGGTCCAGGTTCAGGCAGTGTTCAGGAGGTCCTGGATGGCTTTCTGCTGCGTCTCGTTCAGGGTGGAAACGCATTGCGTCCATAGTCCTGCAGACACCTGGAGAGGAAAAAACAGAACTTCTGATTGCATTTATACTCCCCGTTAGATGCGAATCGCACAAACATTTAGGAACGTAGGGCCAGGCAGTATTACAAGAATGACACTAGAAATAATATAAGAATGAAGTTTTAAGCTGTAACAATAGAACATCAAGATGAAAACTAAAAATTTAAGTTATACCTTGGGTTCGACATAAGGAAGACAGATAAGGAAATATTTTATCTTTTAATGCACCAGCATCAAAATATTTTTAGTAACAGAACTTTGAAACAATTGTGCCAACAACTGAGAATTTCAAAGAACCGGCCACCCAACTAAGCTAGTTAACCTTACATAAACTTTTTTCTCATTAAATTGGTTATCTTGTAATTTTACGACAATCTTCTGGTAAAAGTGCATCTTCATTAATATGATGACTATACTCTTGTAATTAAACAATTTTGTAGCCTACATTACATGACTCATGGAAAGGATGATGAAAGCCACTTTGTGAAAATATTTTGTCATTTTCAATTAGTTTTCTTTTCTTGAGCAGAAAGAAAAGCCAAAAAAAAAAAAAAACCCTCTCAGATCTTATAGGGCCATTGCTCTTGCTTACCTGTACTTGACGGATGACGTTTGCGAGCCGTTTGGTGCAGGCATCTTCCGTTTTAACAGATTCGTTTGCGACGCCATCAGCTATGATGAGGAAAATTTTAGGGAGGTTGGAGTTTTCTGGCCCAAGGACAATTGGGTTGTTGCTGTGGAGAAGAGAAGTCCATAGGTT